GAGAGAATCGAATAGGTAAGGTGTCTACCGGATAGAGCTCGTCAAGACCCAGGTCGAGAATTACGACGACCAGATACGACCGTATACGACCATTTACGACGCCGTATACCGCCGTATACGGCAAAAATACGGCCGTTCACGGCCGTGTATACGCCGTATTTCCATGTACCGTATTACGGCCGTAAATCGCCGTGTCGTATACGGCGAAATACGGCAGCTGTAAACGGCCGTATTTACACCGTGATATAGCCGTATACGTCAGCGTATACGGCCGTATTAGCGCCGTATACGTCAGCGTATACGGCCGTATTAGCGCCGTATACGTCAGCGTATACGGCCGTATTAGCGCCGTATACGTCAGCGTATACGGCCGTATTAGCGCCGTATACGATGGCACTACGGCCGTATACGCTCTTTCTGAGATCTCAATGAGATCTTTCTGAGCGGGTGTGAGTATGCGAGGATGTCCAGGAGGGTATGGGTCTCCTCCTTGCTGCCCCTCAGAAACAGATTCTCGGCATTTCATTGGTTCCAAAACGGATCAGTCCGATTCAGGAGGATGTATCTCTATTATGTGACGGGTAACACATAGCCATGTTCGAGCCGATCCAACGGTTATGAAGTGTGCCCTATTGAATAAGGGGTATATGTATGAGCCGTCTCCGTGCTCTTCACTGAGATATACGATCTCGGTCTTTGATTGGTTGAAAAACGAACCATTCGGTATAATTTCTCTTATTAGACGGGTAACACATAGCCGTGGTCGAGCCGATCCTAGGGTTATCGAGAGCTCTCTATCATGCGGGTCGAACAACAACATATTTTACCCTTATAATAATAAAGAACCAGCTTGGTCGAATCTTATTGGCTCCTACAAAAAGGCTTCCACCCAATCAGATAATTTCAACTGATTTCCTATGATTTCACGTGATTTCAGTGATTTCAGGTCATTTCAAATTGATTTGTGCTATTGAAATCAGTTTCTTCCCCTTGTCCTAAACCGCTCTCTCATACATGCTACCACGTACATTTTTCTGAAGATACACAACCGTGATATACACTACCGACATATATTCACCGTGCAGCTTCCAAAAGCCCAGAAAAAGTCCTTCACACATGCTACCTCTCCCTATTCTGTAGGTCGAACGAACCTTAACGTGTGGGAAGCTTATAGATATAGCATGCATCGATTCTCAAAAGTATGCAGAAAGATATTTGAAACACCTGTTACTCCTACCTGTTTTGAAACTGTAATTAACTTGGGTACATGCTGTACTCATATATATGGAGCGCATTGAAACTAAAGAAAACCGAATAAAGATGTTTTAAACAGACGTTACTCCTCCCTGCTCTGTAACTCGAATGGGCCCTTTTATTTGGTGCACTCGTATATAGAGGGTGGAGAAAGTTTCAAAAAGACTGAAAATAGATCTTTTTAATACATGTTACTTCTACCGGTTTTGTATATCGAATGAACTCTATCACATGTTGCACTCATATATATAGGGTAGAAAAAGTCTCATAAAGACTGAAAAAAGATCTTTCTAATACATGTTACCCCTACCTGTTTTCTACGTCGAATGAGCTCTGACATGTGTTGCACTCATATATATAGGGTAGAGAAAGTCTCAAAAAGACTGAGAAAAGATCTTTCTAATACAGTTACCCCTACCTGTTTTCTACGTCGAATGAGCTCTATCACGTGTTGCACTCATATATATAGGGTAGAGAAAATCTCAGAAAGACTGAAAAAAGATCTTTCTAATACAGTTACCCCTACCTGTTTTCTACGTCGAATGAGCTCTGACATGTGTTGCACTCATATATATAGGGTAGAGAAAGTCTCAAAAAGACTGAAAAAAGATCTTTCTAATACATGTTATTCCTACCTGTGCTATTACTCGAATGAATTCTAATGTGTCGTATACTCATATATATAAGGTGAATTTATGTCTCAAAGAGAATGAAAAAATTCGATTTTAATCGGATTATCAATACTCAAAAATCGAGAATGGGTGTGGGACGGATGTGTGAGGGTGGGTGTGAGTGTCGCTGCAGATGAAGAGGAGGCTCACACCCACACCCTTCTTGACTTTGTTGAAGTATTACTATTGTTACCTAGTGACATGTATAGGTTGTCACGAGTACATGTTGCTTATATTCGATAAGAGCAAGTGATTAACATTAACGGCCGTTTACGACGAAGTATAATAGAAAACAATGATTATTTCTTAAGACATTTACAGTTGACGCATACGATATCTTAGAATATTATTCGATGAGCGTATACAGTTGCCGTATTGCTACGCTGGTTGTTAACAGCGACTGTTACGTTCATTGTAAACAACGACCGTAACTCATCGTAAAGCATCGTTTACAATCGCTGTAAATGGCTACCGCAAACGGCTCGCGTATACGATGCCCTAGGATATTTTATCTGATTAGCGTATACAATCGCCGTATTGCTTCGCTGGTCGTTAACGGCGATGTTTTACCGTCATCGTTTACGATTGTTGTAATCGGCTACCACAAACAACTGACGTATACGATGCCTTACGATGTTTTCCGGACAGCGTATACGGTCGACGTATTGATACGCTAGTCGTTAACGGCGACTTTTACACTCATCGTTTACGGTAGCCGTAATTCGCCGTAAAGCATCGTTTACGATTGCAGTATATGGCGAACGAAAACAGCTGCCGTTATCCACCGTAATTAGTTGGTGTACGGTCGTGTACGACCGAGCGTGTTTGACCTGGGCTGTCAATATCAAACTTATGCTCAAAAAACAAGTCAGATCTTAATAGTATTAATACCAAAAGAGTTTCAGCTTCAGAAAAGCATTTCACATTTACTTTTTCATTTCTCAATTGCGATAAACACATCCAAGTTAGCTATGACGAACAAATAACTTCATCACAACAATCAACGAAAAATCATTTGTCGTAATTCATCTCGAACAATCAATTATCACTTACTTAGCTCAGTTAAAGAAAATAACCGTTTATAAATTGCTTTTATAATCGATTAATAATATGAATAATTGTTTTACATGTTCTTATTGTACAAAAGTTTCGTCATAAAATGACTATGCGATTTACGAACACATGGAGAAAGACACAGAAAAATATACGGTGCATATATCACTCGGAAGATTTTGTCTTCCTTTCCATATTTCTGTTCAGCTGTGTCTACTTATTAACGTCGTTGAACATACATGTATATTAAAAGTTCAAATTAAAAGGAAAGAGAAAAATAGTTCAGCGAAGATGTTCCCGAGACTGCTAGATGTAACGAAAATGGTGATGCAGCTCTACCACTGGTTGGGCATTGATGTTAATGAGCTACTAGTGCATTCCACTATCGTTATGACAAATGGAGAGGCACATTAAATGTCTTTGATCCCATTGTGGGCATGATGTTTATTCGACTGATGCACTACATCCAAATGTATCTATCTCACATACAACACGAGCTTATATATGAGAGAGAGAATAAAGAAAAGGAAAATGTACAATAAATCAGAAGAGAGAAGGAAGCAGATAGGGAAAAGAAGAGGAAGAGAAAGATACAGAAAAACATTCGTTGCTTGATATATCTTCCATTAACCTTGTTCTAAGTGAGTAATGGATTCCTTGGTATCATGACATAAAAAGGACATTTGTCATTGAATGTAATCCTTGGTAGCATGTCATAAGAAAGGACATGGTTTGTCTGAAACATCTTCAATTGACCTTGTCTTGTCTAAATGATGTGCTCCTTGGCACACTAGACAATTTCGAAAGCATATTTAGCAATCTACATTTGGTCAGTTTCTAAAACATACATCGGAGAGGAGAACTGTCGTTTCTTCATCATATACAGGGTCTATATTACTTAGAATATCCTACCTATATGGAAAATATTCTAGATACGTCATAGTCAACTTGAACTTTTATTTTTTCCATGAAAAAAATATGTTTGAAAAAAGTTTTCAAAAAAACGTCACTTGAGTGGTCCTCATTGTGAGCCATTTTTCGTCCCGAGCGGAATGTTTTTTTCCAACTTTTTGCTAACCATTTTGTAGAGCAGAACGAACTGCACAACATATATCAAATTCAGCCTGAGTACTCGTAAAATGGCTGAATGACAGCAAATACAATGAAAAAAGTTGGTATATTTTTCGTGAAAGAATGGGCGTTCATCGAAAGTATTTGCCAATAAAATTAGACCAGTCCATCACAAACTAATATATAAATAGCTAGTTTAGTTCAGCTTTTCACGCTCTATCTCCTGGTATATGACACTAAAGCTTTTGTAGATTTTTTATAAAGGAAAAAAGTCATCTTTGTATAGATGATTTTTCGCAATTGTTTTGAAGTCCATTTGTGAGTGCTTGAGAGTAAAATCAAAAAGTCAAATTTGGTCGAGTGCTTCGATTCGTTGATGGACTCATGGACTCTCTCTTAAGAATCTAGAGAATGAGGATATCGATCCCTCGATGAAATCTTAATTGAGAAATCGGCGATTAATCATCAAAATTGAGGCAATTCTGACGACATGGGTAAGTGCAAGTCTCGAGCAATTTATCAAAAGTTTTAGCAATAATAAAAAGTTTTGTCGATTTTGTTAATTCACAGTAGAGGTTTATATGGTGCAATACTCTGTCATATGACCTATTGTACTTTCGTGCCGCAAAAACACAGAACGTGCGCGGTATAAAAAGTGACAACAAAGTGAGAAAAAAGAAAAACAAATACACATTTTTGTCAAAAGGTAAGTAGAAACAGGAGTAATAACGAAAATAATCACAAGAATAAAAAATCATTTTTTAGATACATTAAATAATGTCGTTTCTAAATACTTTGCTTGGGTTTCTGAAAAAATTGGCCTTATTTATTTTGATTGTGGCTATTGCTATTCCTTTCCGATATAGTTCAACAGATCCAAAATATATTTGTGTTCGTTTAATACATTCCATATTATCTATAAAGCACTCTCTGATACCAGATCGAGCTCGACCAACACTAAGTGCAAATTATCGAGCTTTTGAAGAAATGCTGCGAATGATGCCATTTCTAAAATTTGATACATCAGCAGATGCACTTACTGTAATCAAAGAAATGCGTGCTTCCTTCACCATGAACTCCATAATTCCTAAACCATCCCAATGTCAAATTAATAAAGAAGTCTTTGAATATGATGGACATGCAGTTGATGCATATTGGGTTAGTTATCCTCCAAAAACCATTCAAAAAGATTCTGATAAAATATTACTCTACATCCATAGTGGAGGGTATCTGTTAGGCAATATTCATAGTAAGCAGTTTTATATAATGTATAGCAGTATATAAACTATTGTTTTATACTTTAATAGGTTTTAGCGGACTTGAATGTCGTCTGTCTGAACTTTTCAACCTAACTATACTTCATGTGGAATATCGGCTTTGTCCCGAGCATCCATTACCTGCAGCTGTGGATGACACAGTTGCAATTTATCGTGCTCTTCTCCGCCAGAACATTTCACCATCTCAACTGATGATTATGGGCGACTCAGCTGGTGGCGGTCTTGCTTTGTTAGCTGTTCAAGCTCTAATCAATCATCAATTACCTGTTCCCCGTGGTGTTATTGTTCTATCGCCGTTCACTGATCTTTCAATGTCTGGTGAGAGTTATACACGCAATCGTCATACTGATATATCACCTCAATTCGATAAAAATTGGTATATGGCACGATTATTGGGCTTCAATCGTGTTCAATTATCTCTTGATGATCCCCGATTTAGTCCTTTGTTTGGTTCATTTGAGGGGTTTCCAGCATTGTATATCAATGTGGGTACGGCAGAAAAAATGGAAGATGATTCAAGACGAATGTGGACAAAAGCTAAGGAAGCAGGTGTTAATGTAAAATTTGAAGAAGGTTTACATATGACACATATATATCCTATGTTTTTTCTTTATTATCGTGAAGCACAACATACACTTGATAATATTAACAAATGGATTCAAACGATCTAAGAAAAAAATCAAATAATCATTTACTATATATCTCATATAATTTCGATATTGATTGACAATAGTATAATATCCATCACTAGTTTCCTATTGATAAACAAATCGATTTGTCTCTTGAATAAAAGACAAATCAACTTGCTGCTCTTAATTCTTGCTTTTCAGCACTCGATTACGAAATCGCCAATAATTCAAATTTAGATATTTGTGCTTTTTTAAATAGAATTAAATGCAGTTTAATTTTCGTCGACGCGTTTCGTGTTATTATTGTATAATGAAACACTCATCAGGGCTCTGCATAATAAAATTAAGCACAAGAATTTTAAAAAAATTGAAAATAAAATGGAATAGAAAAAAAATGAAGAGGGATATTTGGTGAAATGTGTATGCTAATTGATAAAACTGAGCAAACTCTCGTTTCTGTTCGATGATTCTATGATTGAGAAAAAGAACATTTCTAATTTTTTAGAGTAGTTAAGGTTTTTAAGGTTTTAATGGATAGTCGCAGGTGAGGATGAGGGCGAAGGGAGCAGTTATCGACTGAGAGTGCACGAAAATCTTAATACAGTTAATAAATCCCAATAAATCTCCATTAAATAAATAAATCCTAATATATCCCATAAAAAAATCCTGGTAGTCCATCGATTATTATTTTCGGGATTTTTCTTTCGAGATTATTTAACATAATCGATTTCTCATAAAAGAATGCACGAAGATTGACCACAGCATTTATACGGATACTGATCATCATAGATTCGAGTTTCATTTTCACCGTAGACACAGAATGTATATGTTTCATCTATATAGAAAAACAATATGAAAGCATTATGAAAAGCTCTCAACAGAATCATATTACCTGTCATTTGGTCAAATTTGTAATCAATCTCTTTTATATGAAGACGTTGAATAACACAACGTAGTCGAATAGTGTTTCCCAATTTGTTGCAGTGTTCTATATGATATTTCTCCCTGATATTGGCCCGAAGATCAACAGGTAATTCAACACATGAGTCGAGTACATCATCAATCGATTGTTCCGAAGATGACCAAACATCATCGAATTCCAGGCATGTGCTTTTATTCGGCGACTTTCTGATTATTGAAGCGGGAAGGATAGTGCTGTTACCACAATCTCGTATAATTGATGAGTGAAGATTTTCCCATTTCACATGCAACTGATGTCACACGAGAATGAAGCGAAGACCCTTGCAATTAGGACACATAATCCATCCACAAGTGTAGCATGTGGAACAATTGACTTTTCCGTTTTGTGAACACTTTGGATACGCATAAAATCCGTGACCTCAACATCTTTCGCAGAGCTCGTTTTGACAACATTGAATTGTACCTTGTTGATGACATTGGTCACAATTCTAATAACCAACACCTAAACATGTTGTACATTTAGTTTGTCCAATACACTCACATCTCGAACATCGTTCACGACGCTGAGTCTCTTTCAGATCTCAGACTGCTTCCTGAGGTTTTCCATTGTTGAGTAGAGTGCTAGTAGGTCTATCGAAATGATAATCTTCCCAAATATTAGCCAATGGACGTTCGAATAAAAATTCATCACTGTAACACGGTTCTTCGGCTTTGGATGTCCAACGATTTTCGTTGAGTGTCCACAAACGAACAGTATAGCCTGACATTTCTCGTTCATGATCTATTTGAGCATGAGCTAATGGGCGAAGATCGAAACAACAGCTACATGGATCATTATTCAAATATTTTCGAAGTTTGCCGAGTACATTTGATTCGCTTGCTAGTAATAATCTATCGTCAGATGAGGGTGAGACTAGCTGCCATGACCATGGTTTCGATCTTGCTTAAGGATCTCTTCGGATGGCTTAAAGATTAATTTGAATTTAAGATAAAATTCAAATCAAATCAAATTACATTGTTACTATAGATATAATATATTATCTTCAGTAATGGTAATCGAGTGTAAAGGTCTTTCGGTTTCCAGTTGTCGTTTTTGAATTTGCATGTTAAGTATTGGATTTCTATTAGAAAAATATAGAGTAATATAAGAGATACTTACTCGTTTTTTTAGTTTTTGTTGAGAATGAATATAATGAATTATGTTGAGCCTGTGTATATATATTTATTCCGTATCGGAAAAATGTGGGTGTTGCTAATATGCAGCTATGTTTTTGTATATGCCATATCTTCGTGATAAAATACTTGTGTTAGCTATGTAGGCGTACGTGTTTAAATGCTATCGCGAAGAAAGGCTATATAATTCCATGTACGTATTTTAATTGCCTTGATTGTTATATTTATTATTAAGTTGTTTCATTGCTATAGGAATAAAGATCTTATGCAATAAGAACTATTATTATCAAAACTAATAGAAAAACTTACTTTAATATGAAATTTCTTTGGATATAGTTAAATTATATCTGACAAAGATTCAGGTATGAACCAAACATTTCTCAAGTATTTCCCATGGCGTAAATTTTTGCGAAAAAAACGCGTTCTGAAAACGCGTTTTCCCATAGCTGCGAAACGCGTTAATGCTGGCCGGTTTAACGCGTTCCACATCTGCTAAAATAAATGTTGCGAAACGATTGTTTCTTAAAATCATTTCGCAGTGTTTCTGAGTCTGTAGTATTGCATACTTTGGAGGATAGAAAAAAACAAAAACCATCAAGTACTTCGTAGAATTCAACTTGCAGTTGCGATCTATATACTTGTTTACATTAATTCATAGAATTATAGAGCTAACTTACATTAGTTTCGATAAAGTTAAGAGGTGGATTCGAACAGGAGAACGTCAGAGCAGAAGAAATGTATACCAACCGTTCAACTAAAATAGTCGAATGATATAAGTGTTTATTCTATTCTTATTTAGATGTCTCGTACAAAATTATGATTCAAATAAATTTTGTTTCACGTCTGAATGAACGATGAACCATGATATTCTTTTCGCTGCTTCTATCCAAATAAGATTGTCATTTCCTCGTCAATTTATTTTAAATTTAACTTTTAGAAATTTAAATTTGTAAAACTTTATTTTTTTAAAGCTAAATACCCAATTAAAATAAATTTAATTTCATATAAATTGGATTAAAAATTTTAAAAAGACTAAATTTCATAAATTTAAATTCAAAAGAATTGAAATCTTAATTTTGCAAAATTTACAAGGCTTTTGTTGGATTTAATGTTTTTTTTAAATGTAAATCCATGATCACTAAATCCAAGCGCAATCATAACTGCAAAAATATTTTTTCTGTAATTCGAACCTCTTTTATCAGCAAGCCACACTTACATACATGGATAGTACATGAACGAAAGTAATATTCTAGTTATGCTTCGGAGAGTACATAATCAGTCACTATAAGGCAGTCCATACATAAATTCACAATAATTCTTATTATAAATCGTAAATTATGCGAAAATACTTTTTTTACACAACAACGCTAAGCTGTCCTACGGACCATTTTTGCATCAGGCTTTACTGAATTTCTTCAAAATTTTCAACATTTTACAGAATTCTTGGTTCAATGCTACGAAACGCGTTTTTTTTGAATGAAAACGTAGTGAAATGAGTTTTCTAACAGAAGATAACTATAGAATACACTCTGATGTTCAATACTAGTCTAACTTCGAAACAGTCTTAGAAAACGACGTAATTCGTGTAAGTTTCAGAAGAACTTGATTCTGATCTTGGCTAAGGAAGATCTGCACCGCCATCTTGAGGATCAAAAACAATGTAATCAGCAAACTTTTTGTAAAACCATTTCCCATAATTTCCAAAATCATATCAGAGGTGACTTTTCTTAACTCATGCTTTTCGAAGATGAATTGGTGCGAGATACTATGACAAAAGAGATCAGTTTTGCATCGTTCGAAGCGTAACCGATGCAAGATACAATTTATAGGAACCTGTTTCCCGTTTTCTCCGAATTGTGATTCTGTACAATGCTTCTCTTGTCAACTTAATGAGTTTAACAGCGTTTCATTTCGGAAACGCTTCGAAACGTAATCGCAAAAAGAAGCGTTTCGTATCGTTTCAAAAACTCAAGGCAGCAAAACGCGTTCTATATAAGTAAAAATACTGTGAAACGCATTCCGTCTCGACGAAACGCTGCGAAACGCATGCTCCAATCTTGGAAACGCGTTACGCAGTGCGTTTCCTTAGATATTTTACGCCATGGGATTGTAGATATCATTGTTAATATATAGTTTATTATGCGATTTGTAAGTAAATTTTATATCTCGAATGATAGGAAGTATCAATATTTTATGCGTAGAGGGGAAATATTAACTGAATTTTGAATTTGTATAGAAAATCTTGTTGACTTTTCAAAATAAATCATCAAATTAACTAGATAGAATTTCTCATTATTATTCTTCTAGAGAATTTCATGATATATCTTTTTAAAAAAATCTCAAGATTATACGATTTATCTCTACTGAAATATCTGCAAAATAGACGATGTTGTAATCATTATGGCTCATCCGATAGTAAATTGAGATAGTGTTTAGTTTAAACTGTCTAAGTATGAGTCACTCTTTCATCCATAAATCGTAGATCTAAAATACAAACATCAGTATCTGAATAATATAATAAATGACATTATTTCATTAGTAGACGATTCTTGATGAAATTCTAGATAAGATAAATGAGGAATCGAGTCAAACGAAACATGGTCCATTATGTACCTATATTATTTATCTATCGATTTCTCTAGAGATTTTAATTGATAAAACAATCTCATATCTTAATTAATCATATTTATTTGACTCGTCTTTATTTTCGTACTCTTGATCATTGTCTTTAAAGTGAAAACGAATATATTAGCAGGATTGATTTACATTTATCAGATTATATTCAATTAGAAAGTCAACGTAGATTTACATTAAACTTTCACCGAATCCTCAACAGCGTGTTAGGAGTCATCTCTCATAAATCCAGTTTGATCGATTAAACTTTTTCTTTACTTGACACCATCAAGTATATTCTCCCCGATATATGCGAAAAACTACCTTAGAATCAA